GGGCCCGCTGTCGGACCCCCCAGCAAAAAGCAAGGGGGATAGTCCCACGGGACCCTCAACCCCTCGGCTCTCCTGCGCTCCCTCGCTCCTCCGCTGCTGGCCTCGATCTCCACATTTTCGCCGTGTTAGCCCAGTACCGTAACCTATAGGGCTATGCCCCAGCCTGGTACTGGCTTGCGAGTGGTCCCATATAACTGGTACACGCAGCCCCTAGGCCTAGGACTAGCCCGTCCCTTACTCCCTACTCCACTTATTTAGCGCCTGCTGCTGGTAGGCCCCTTCACTAGCCTGCCCAATTTGTGCCGCGGCCGCCTCGCACCCCATGTCGTACTTAGGACCGTCCACGGCCACTACTCCAACTAAGGCACCTCTTATTCCTAGTAACCAAGATCTGGCCGGCCAACTACGCCGGTTGCATAATCAAAAGTAGAGAAATCACACGCGCGCCTTAATCCCGCGCGCCCACACCCGCTCTACTCTGATCAGACACCCTACCTATGTAGCCGAACCGACTTAAGCGCGTCTCACGCAGTATACTTAGGACCTCTACTCGTACTTCCGGTCGCTTGCAAAAACAAGGGCGGATACCCTTGTCAGGGTATTCGCGCCGACAGCGCCACGCCTCAGCCTGCGTGTCTAGGTAGGCCTTCAGTTGTTCCCTGGCGGTCTGTAGCTTGTGGTAGGACGTGTCGTCTCGTGAGTTTGACAAACCGGCCGCACCTCTCGATCTTACGCAGGTGTATGCCCGTTTGGTTGGATGTAACGTTCTGTAGGCATCTTTCAACTGCAGAGCAGCCATGAGTTGAGCTAACATATCCACATTTGGGGCCCAACGGTCCCGGATCCGCTCTTGGGTTTGTGTTGCAGATCTTCTGTCCATCATGGGGTCAGGTGTTATGTTGAAGTCCCCTGCGATCAGCAAGGGTATGTCTGTAGGTAGCTCCTGACTGGAGCGATGGAGAAACTGCACCCTGTCCAACGGGTCGTTCGGGCCGTAGATACTGACAATGGCGATTTCTTCATCCCCCAACTTTGCCCTCACATATACCCAACGGCCTTCTTGTTGGTCAAACTCATGAGCGACGGGTGTCAACCGGGAAGAAGGGGKAAACCAGATGGCARCACYAGTCGAGGCACCTGATAATGCCGGAGCAGAGAAGGATGTGTACGGCCACACCCATTTCGCCTTCGCAGTGTGTTCCGGTGAGTTTGTGAGGTGTGTTTCTTGAACACATATGACATCTGGCCAGGCCCCAGTGGTCTTGGACCTCAACATGCTCCAGATTGCGTCTTTTTTTTCTTGTGATTCTAATTCCTGTCCACCGGGCGTTTGAAAGCCGCCTATTTTATGTACAATCTGCTACTCATATCTCTCCATCTTGTCTCTCCATTCTTGGTGAAAGTCCACCGGACAATGCGGACATTTAAAAGCCACCTATTTTATATAAGTATAATCTGCTTCTTTTGTATCTCCACACTTGTCTCTCTATTCTTGCCAAAGATCTTGTAAGCCTTCTGCCTTCCATTCTACCTATTCTGTTGCCATCCATATTTTTATTGTTCATCCATATCCCCTTTTCCCTGCTTGCCTCTCCATTCTCCCTTTGTCTACTGGGATTTCTACGCTTCATATTTCTGTGTTCATCTGTGTTTTCCATGTTTTTGCTGTTTTCCAGTTTTTAAGGATGTTATCCCCTTTTGCCTCCCCGTACTCCTCTTTCCTCCGACTCCTCTCTACACCGATCTCTACCCCCCCCACCTACGTACCCAGCTATTATGGTACACACACATCCTACTACATCCTACTCCTCTTCCTATCCTTCCTCCGTAACTATAATACACCTTGGTTGCTATCCATGGAAATGATCTTCTGCTGGTCTCCTACACACTCTCCGATTCTGGGTCAGGGCCGGGACCACCACGGAGCAGTAAGACGGGCCCGAACCCCGTCTGGCCCATCTGAGGATCTCGTATCACCAGCTGTGGGTAAGGGGCCCATCTTTTCCAGAAGTCTTCCTCCCTCTCTCCTCCCCCCCCCCCCCCCCCCCCCCCC